GTTTTTTTTTACCAGAGTGCTAGGCCTGAAATGGCTTGGTTTGATGATGTCACTTGCATCATTGTGATTTATGGAATGAAGACATGTGGCTATGTTTGGGGGTGGTTGTTTTTTTTTATTCACTGGTATATCTAGAGGCCTCAAACTTTGGCAGTATCAATGCATCACTGACAGCCTGTTACTAAATCAGAAATGGTTAGTAATAAAAAACAGGCACATAGTATTAGCCTCGGTAACTACTGTAAAATCTGATGTATGGACTTCAGGAACACTTACTCCTTATTCTGATAAAATTGATATTGAAAAATCAACTTTTATAAACCACATATTTTACTCTTTGATTGGTATTTCTATTATTAAGGTGGTGGTATACTTTTTAAAGCCATAATAGAAAGTTACAAGATGATTTTGGCACCTTTTTTTTTTAATATTTCTAAATTTCTTAGGAACATGCTCGATCATTTTTTATATGTGGTCAGTATAGTCAGCAGTAGCCCGCTTCTATAGCTGGAGCTTTATGTAGGATGTCATTGTACTTCTATAGTGGAACTTCATCTTCAAATTGTGGTGGGAACTGTAGTTGGGACACTTTTTTGTTTTGAAACAGTTTCCAGGAGTGGTACCATTGCTGATCCTACATGTTATGGTTGAGCAGTGTCATCAGTTGGAAAACTTACAAAAAAGTCCTACTAGTTCAGTTGAACAGATGTTAGAACTGGTCCGTGATCGAATGTGTATATAAGGCTCTGGCCACCAGAGCCTTTTTTTTTTTTTTAACTGTGTCAGTTAGACCTGCTGAAAAGTAAAAACAGTTCCAGCTACCAGAACCATCCCTAGATTATTGTTCCATCAGGTCAGCTGAACCAATGTTAGTAATAGTGGAATATTTTTCGGGGTGGGGATGGGAATGTACATTTCTGTAGCATAGCCCGGGCTTTAAATGTACAATGTTAGATTTGTTGTGGGCTGTGTGTCTGTCCTCTATGAATTTTCTAGATCCAAATACAGTATACAATTGGAAGGACTTAGCCGCTTTATTTTTGGTATTCACCCTTCTGTTTAGTATTTGGCTTATGTGACTTGCCATTCCACTGCCTCACACGTTCTCAACCTGTACACTTCAAAGTATCTGGTTCAGTTCTTCTTGGGTGTTTTATTTTTGTAAAAGTTTGACCCAGAGATGGCAAAAGGTATATTTATTGAACTAATAAGAAGCAGTATTAATCTTTGCTTGGAAGAGTCATAGAAGGCTCAAAATGGCTAGGTTCAAAATTGGTGTGTTTCGAAATGTGTGCTGATGAACATCTGCACAGGTTTCTCTCCTCTCCCTCCCTCCCCGCCTCCCCCCCCCCCCGCCTTTCAGCTTAGTTCTCTGCACAATTGAAGGGTTACATAAGAGCCTGCTGTAATGCTCCAACCTCTGATTACTGCTGCTTGCTATTCAGCGTGAAAAGGGAATCAAACAGAAAATTTTTATTTAGAATAGAAATGATTTATATACTCCGTTTCTGATGCATTGCTTGCTGCCTCACTACTAATTCAGAATCTTGCAGGATGCTACTGGGTTCTCGCATGAACAGTGTACTCAAGAGACTTACTAATGCATCATGTACCCCAAATTCTAAAGATGCATGACACTGCAGAAGGATAACGTAAGATTAAAAATACCCAAGTCTGGGTTTAAAATACGTCTTTGTTTATGAGGCAATTTTAGTCTTCTATTTCAGAAACTTATCTCCAGAGATTTAGCAGAGGTTGTCTCCTCTTCTTGGTTTCACATTCTTACTGCTGGCCCTGTACTGAACTCTGTTGGGATTGGAGGTGGAGGAAAGAGGGTGTTCTGTAAACTTATCTTCCTGTGCTGGTGATATGACTAATAGTCAAGAAAATACATAGCAGACACTGAATGTGCCATTTACTTTATTTATTTTTATAAATTTCTAGGACAAAAAAGATGCAGAACCACTGACTGTGTAGCAAATGCCCAGGAAAGACTTGAGAGTTCATTTTTACACTGTAAGTAAATTCTGTTGC